ATAGCTCACAATATAAATCGGTTCGAGCTCAGGGCCATACACCTAGCTCTCCAACAGTTCTCCTCCCTAGTGAAGGGATAGCACGTCCTAGTCCTGACGGACAACGTGGCGGCCAAAGCCCACATCAACAAGCAGGGAGGGACCCGGTCCTGGTCATTCATGCAGGAGGCCCTGGACCTAGGTCTGTGGGCAGAGACCAATCTGGGGTCCATCAGAGCAGAACACATCTCGAGTGAGGTGAATCGACAGGCAGATTCCCTAAGCAGGGTCACAGTGGACCACTCAGAGTGGCGACTGGACCCGGCACTGTTCAGGAGATCTCTATAAGGTTCGGTCATCCGCATCTGGATCTCTTTGCCTCACCATCGAACACTCAACTTCCCAGGTTGTTCTTCAGGTTCCCGACACGGGGAGCGGAGGGAACAGATGCCCTCCGGTACCAGTGGCCAGGAGACCTGCTGTACGCCTTTCCCCCCTTCCGTTGTTACAGGCAGCCATCCGCAAATTCATTCAAGAAAGGGCGGAGATAATCTTGATTGCTCCACATTGGCCAAGGCGCCCGTGGTTTGCCGACCTTGTGGATCTTTCGCTCTCGCCACTGTGGAAGATTCCCCTGGACCGGGTGGCTCTCAGCCAAGGGAACCTTCAACATCCAGACCCATTGTGGCTCCATTAGCCGCGTGGCACTTGAGCGGGAAAGTTTAACCAGGCAATCCTATTTGTCCGGGGTGATCTTGATGATTCAAGCCTCTAGGTGCCCCTCGACCAATAGGATTTATGATGCCACGTGGAGGAACTTCTGCACGTGGTGCAATAAACAAAATCTCAAACCTCTCATGGTCACAATCCCCAATATTCTGGATTATCTGCTGGAAGGTATGAACAAGGGTTTATTACCCAGTACCATCCGCAGACAGGTTGCGGCCCTGTCAACGGTCCTTACCTGTGACAACTCGGTCTCTCTGTCGCAACATCCAGCAGTTAGTGCCTTAAGGGGGCGGTTAGCTCTAGACCGCCCGCGGTCCATCGCTACCCGTCGTGGGACCTACCCAAGGTATTGCAGGCTCTGATCTCTCCTCTGTTTGAGCCTCTAGGTTCTTGTTCTCTTCATTTCCTGTCTTTGAAGGTGGCATTCCTTATAGCCATAACATCGATTAGAAGAATATCGGAATTAACTGCACTTTCAGTCAGAAGTGATCTTTGTACCTTCTTCGAGGACAGAGTGGTCCTCAGATTGGATCCTTCCTTCATTCCGAAGGTTAATTCCTTGTTTCATAGGTCCCAAGAGCTAGTTCTTCCTGATTTTTGTCCAAATCCTTCTCATAGTCGGGAACGACAGTGGCACAAATTGCATGTACGTAGGGCTCTGCGTCACTATATCAAGCGGACCTCGGCTTTTAGGAAGTTGGAGGCATTGTTTGTGTCTGCCATGGGTCAGAAGGTTTCTTCTTTGACCATTGGTAAGTGGATAAGGGCATGCATCGCTAGGGCCTATCTGTCTCAGTCTCTTCCAGTTCCTGCACACATTACAGCTCATTCTACTCGCAGCGCTGCTGCTTCTGCTGCTTGGCACACGGAGGCTTCAGTTGAGGAAATTTGCAGGGCAGCGACGTGGTCCTCCCCTTCTGTGTTTGTCAGGCATTACAGGATTGATAGGTTTGCAGCGGGGGACGCTGCGTTTGGCAGACAGGTCCTACAACAGGTTGTTTCTTCACAGGGGACACAAGCCTAGACTTCCCCCCCCCGTAGGGACATGGGCGTCTTTGGTATGTCCCATCCGGTGGATTCTACATTCATCATGCTGGAGAAGGGGCGTTGCCTTACCTGAATGCCTTTTCTCAGCATGATGATGTAGAATCCACACCCTCCCTTGAGGCAGTCTAGGCAGGTGTCTTGATAATTGGAGCCAGTGCGCCGGACTTCATCAGTGATGCTTCGCCTCGTCAAAACTGGGTCAAAGTTCTGACCTAGTCTATCTGGGCAGGAAGGCTGAAATAACCCATCCGGTGGATTCTACATCATCATGCTGAAAAAAGGCGTTCAGGTAAGACAACGCCCCTTCTCTGGGTCTGAAGCAGCTCAGGAGTGGCTCAGCTCAGGCCATAATGATGGCCACAAGCCGGTCCATGTCATCTAGAGGCTGATAAGGAACAATAATCATACACTGAATCTGGTGTTTCTGTTGGAAAAGTCACTATGTGATCTCAATCTGGGGGAGATTTTGGTGCTCCCCTTGTCATGGTTATATCACACTCTTATAACCATTGGATTTCATAGTACTACTAACCACTGAAGGAGGCTTAGCTAGATTGGTCTTCCTTTGGTGAGTAATGGAATTGGATGGATTTCCACAGGAACTGGAGATCTTTTCTGCTGGTCTGCTGTATGGTCCATCTGAAGTCTTGGTCATCACTTGGAATAAGAAGGCCGGGCAGCTTTGGATGGGATTGTGTCTATGCATCCTTTCCCTTCTCGTGATCTGTCACTCCCTGTCATTTACAAAAGAGCTAAGAGAATTGAAGTAACAAGAGATGTTTAGAGCATTGCTGGTGTTTTGAGGGGGGGACAAATTTGACACAGGTAAGAATTGTGATTAAGGCCTTACTTCAGGGTGATAAGGGTGGTGAAATATTAATACTTTTCTGTCTATTGCTGTCCTGTTTCAGGTGACGCAGGCCCTTTTGGGTCCAGGCAGGCTAGAGAAACCTTTTCAGGGGTTTGTGGAAGATGAATGGTTGAGGGAGCTAAATATGTCTAGCCTATGAAAGAGTAGAATTAGGGGGAACATGATAACTCTTTTTCTGTATTTGTGGGGCTGTGACAGAGAAAAGGTGGTTGATTTATTCTCCAAAACACCAGAGGGCAGGACAAGAAGTAATGTGTGGAAGCTTGTTAAAGAGAGATCCAATCTAGAAGTACGGAGACATTTTCTGACAGAACAATTAATCAGTGGAATAATTTGCTCCATTACTGGAGGTTTTCAAAAATAGAGTGGACAGCCGATGATATAAGGTCCCCTGCCTTGAGCAAAGGGTTGGACTAGAAGACCCCTGAGGGGACCCTTCCAGCCCTATGATTTTATGTTCTGCCATTAAGAAGTATATATAACATACATTACCGATGCACTCTGAATACATAAGGATTAATATAAACTTGCTTGCTTGCTCGCTTAGATTTTGATGGTGTAGAGTGTTCCAAAAGCTGGGATAGTATGTAGAAGCAAAACTGTAGCTGTTTGCCACCTGGATTTTTTATTGAGCTTCAGGCATTTGAACATAAGTCTGTTTTTATATGTGGATCAAGGAGAAAGTGTGTTTTGCATATGAAAAAAAGAAAGATCCAAGAAAAACTGGGGTTACTGGATAGGAAATATAATATGAAATCTGGTTTTAATTTTTGCTTTTTGCCTTCATGAATTGCAAACAGAAAATTTCCTATCGGTGGAAGAAGTTTGATTCAGCAAAACAATACCAATAACAAAAGGAGAAATCTCTCTCTCTCTCTCTCTCTCTCTCTCTCTCTCTCTCTCTCTCTCTGAAAGAAAAAAGCACAAATCAACTCTCATTCCGTTCTGTTGGAAGGAGTGAAATATGTAACAACGCAGTGGTATATGTGCCTTCGCCCTTACTACGCAGATATTATTTTTACAAGTTAATGAAATTTTTCCTAAAAATGTTAAGGCCATTTTAAAGTGAAGAGTTTCCTTAGGACCACTGCGGATAATAAAAAAGTTTCCTATTCAAATCTGCTTCAGCCCCAATGATTACTAAATCCTGCTTTTGTTATATGCAAATTGAAAATACACATATGGATAGTTCTTGACTTACAGCTATTCATTTAATGACCATTCAAAAGTGACATACAACTGGTTCTCGCACTTAGACTGTTGTAGCCTCAAAATTTGGGCATTTGGTAACTAGCATTTGTATTTAGGATGGTTGCAAGCATCCCAGGGCCATGTGATTGCCATTTGCAACCTTCCCTGCAGCTTCCAACAAATAAAGTCAATGGGGGAAGCCAGATTGGCTTAATGACCTTGTGATTCACTTAACAATAATTTGCTTAACAACTGTGACGAAAAGGTCCTAAAAATCAGGTGTGACTTACTTAACAACTGTTTTGTTTAGTAATAGAAATTTAGGTCCCAGATGTGGTCATCAGTCAAAGGCTACCTGTTTGCAGAATAATGCAAGGATGCATTTTCTTTTATAATTACTTTGAAATGGAATAAGAGCAATATGCAATTTTCTGTATTGTACATCGTACAAATATCTGGGAAGATGGCTTTCCTATTTGTGATAATTTTTATTTCCTCTTTCATTGTTTTTATACTTTTCCTTGAACCCTCTGTGTGTGAGAAGATAGATATGAAAATAGTTAAAAACATGGTGGTCCTTTTACTTGGATATATCAACAGCTGAATCTAGGACCTCTTGCATATAAAGTTAATACTCAGTTATAAAGTTATATTCTCTTTTCACTGATTATTAAAGAATATGTATGTATCCTACTTCAAGAAAGATACTTCATAATGGTTTACCTATGATTATGGAATAAGCTCTGATGGGTCATACCTCTTAACTGAATATATATTTGGCAACCACTGCTTAAGGAACTTGCTGAATATGATGGGATAGAGATCTTTTGCTCATAATAAAATGGGAATGGTAAGAGTATTTCTTGCCTATTATTAAATCTTTTGCAAATAGGGTTATATACTACTGTACTATTGTATAGCTATACTACTGTAATCTATTAAAGCTAGCCATTGGATTAATAAGATGAACTTCAAGTTTGATAATCATTCTGTAGCAATGTCTACATTTTCTGAACTCATACAACAGAATCTAACTCCTATATTTAATCTATGTTTGTGTCTTAAGATGTCTAGATATCAAGTGACCTTGCTGAATGCAGTTTTTAATCTGTAGGATTTTAAACAAATTATTATTTTTGGCAGACTTTTTCAGCTGAAACATTGTCATTCTTTATTATTTTAGGCATGTACTGGAATAGAAAATATTGATGAGGCTATCACCTTACTTGAACAAAATAACTGGGATTTAGTGGTAAGTATTTATTTTACTTTATATGTTTGATGCTTAAAATCAGAGGGAATATTGCTGGAATTCTAGCTGGAAGAATGAGTGTTCATAGGATATACAAACTTAATGTAGTGCTGTGTCAAATCTACCACCCCATTTGCAAGCCATGAAAGATGTGATGTTGTGGTTAAAGTGTTAGACTAAGAGGAAGAGAAATACATGTTCAGAGTACATACTACAAGGAACAATAGGCCTTTCACTTTTGGGGGAAAAATGTAATTTGACATTGCAAAGAGCAGTAACCAAAGTTTTCTTATTGGCTCAACTGATTGCAATGCTTTCCCATTGCATTTGATTTGGACTGATGTTACTCATGATGTAGCTTTGTCCTTTTTCAGTGTCTTGGGGCACGGATGGAAGTTTCTCCTTTTACATCTTTGTAAGGATTCCATTTAGTTTTGGACATCATTACTGCTTTCTGATTTTACTGGGTGTTCATGGTGACAAAGCATCAGTTGTATTTTCTTACCTTTGATCAAGTATCATATGTCTCTGCGCTTTCATGTTTTTTTGAGGGTGTGTATTGGAAGTGAAGTAATGGTAACAGTATACAAGAGTATGCTTCAGGAGGATACAACTTTTCTTTCCAAATTAATGGAGAGATGAGGTATGTTATAGTGAAAAAAAATACTAACATCCCCAAGGGCAGGGTTTTTTTTTTATTGCAATCTTATCGCTACCTACTGATGACATGTATCTCTAGTCAAGTCTCATTTGGATTCCTTTCAGGGATCCATACTAAATATAAATTTCCTGGATTTTTAAGAACAGGCAGATTTTTATTAAGATCAGATTCTTCAGATACACAGTAAAGTATGACATATTTGGCAAATGCATGAGTTTAGAGAAGTGAAACCATATCTCGTAAGAAATATCTAGAGTCTGATAGGGAGAGTAAGCATGTGTTAGCATCTATTTGTAACTGTACTTCAATTTTCAACAAATCTTTGCCAAAATGTCCTGCCAAAAATCCTCAAATCTACATACTTGTGCCAATAAAGATAATGCATTTTCAGAGTCAAAGAAAGGTTAAATAAGAAACAGAATGGGTATAATGTTTCATATTGTACAATGATAGGAAAGAATTTAGTGTCAACTGATCTGCATTAGGAGGTCAGATGTTCAGAGATACACTGAAAAGCTGGAAATTTATTGGAAATCTAGTTGTCTTTGTGTGCAGAAGAAAATGGTATAATGTGACACACTGAGGAAACGGCAATTTTCTGAGTTGATTTGTTTTGGAGAGAAATGCTTTGGATAATACAGGTTTATATCTTATATCCAAAAGATAAGGAAGAATTGTCTTACGGTTTTACATATTAAGAGTTAAAATATTAATAATCCTTAATGTAAAAAAAAGTGCTGCCATTTTTATTACTTTTTTTTTTTTTTACTAAGCTTCAGCAGTGCAGGACTTTAAAAAAAAGCATTATTGGGATTGTCTTGTTCTGATTTTGATAGCTAGAAAATACATTGAGGTGGGCCAAGAAGATGAACATATGTTAAATTCAGATACCTAATCCTTGGATTAGGAGATTTTCTTCTGTATTCATAGAAACATGCTATTATAACATAACTACAGATACCTTCGGTCACTAAGAGTCAAAATCCATTTGATGGAATATAATCAACCAGTCAATCAATTATAGACATCTTTTAAATATCCAATATACCACACGTCTTCATTTTTTAAAAGGATACAGCCTGTATTAAGGAAAGCAGCTACTGAAAGAGATAAGAGTTTTTTGTTCTTCAGTACAATGGCTCACCATAAAATACAACAAAAGAACAGTCTTCTGTAGTTACTAGTGCTTACAGCTGTAGCACTCCACATGCAGATCATGAAAGAGAGGATATGGCATTTCACTATCTTCAAAAAATATGCCCTCTGGAGTTTTCATTTTTACAGTTCGAATAATCATAGATTTATGTATGTGTTGTGCAAGCTCACCAAATACAACTTCGGGCCTCCCTGCATCAGAATGTTTGGGTAGGAAGATGTTGAAACAACCCTTCAAATTTACTTATAGTTCTTAAGAGCCAAACTCTAGACATTTTCTATAGAATTCAGTTCCAAATTTTAATAATACATCTACTAATTACTAGCTGTTTATCTTGAAGAATTAGAAAACTCAGATGTGCCCAGAGTTTTAATTCCAGAATCAGTTCTTTTTTGATCAAGAAGTAATTTTCCTAAAATTTATTCTATATTGGTGTGTTACTGTGCATCTATTACAAGTACAATGACCACATCTTCTTGGGTAAAACAAAGGGCAAACATGAAAAAGGGGGCAAATCTGAAAAAAGTTTGTAAGGATAACAAAATTAATTGTTTATATTTATAATTTTGTTTTAGAAAATTTAGAAAATTCAAAAGCAAAACCAAGAAAAATAAAGTTGGAAATAAAGCACATATGGTCATTGTAGTTAAAAGAAACGAAAAGTGACAAACTAGGTACCTCAGCGTGTGTTTTTCTGGAGAATATTAAATAACTTTCTAAGTAACATAGGTTTTGAAGTTCTTAAAATACTTACACTACAGATTTTTATGTAAAGTATAGACCATCTCATATTTTTCCTTTACGAAATAGTTTATAGCTTTTAACTCGACTTACTTTGTATAGATATTTTAACAACGGCTTTGGAGATAATTATAGAATTTTATTATTTTCCTCTTGGAAAATTCAGAAAGCATATTCATAAAATTTAGTTTCCAGGATTGTTTTACTATACAGTTTCTATGCTCTTAATTGACATACAAGGAAAGTTGAATTAAAAATCTGTTTATAACAATACTATGCACCGATTGGAAACCCCCCCCCCCTTTCATGCCAAAAAAATAAGCATATCAATGTCTTTCCATTCAGGTACACTACAGTTAATTAAGAAGTACTGAGACACTAAAACTGAAAAAATATTGAGGCACCAAAGAAATGGTGGCTGTGCATTTGGGTGAGAGGGGTAGGCTAAATGCTTAAGAATGCTGTTCATCTGGCTTATTTTATAAAGACAATTTTAGCTTGGGTTTTATTTTTTACATCTGCAGTTGCTTGCCAAAAAAAAAAAGAATAAATAGGAATATTATAATAAAAAGTGAGGTGCTTGTAGAATTTTTGTAACCTAACCTATTCTCAATTTGCTATTAAATATTATGTTTAATATGCATGAATTTGTAGATATAAAATCCAGCAGTGCACAGTATCAATACAGAAGTAAGCCTTTGGTAAGGCTTGGTGACAAGTTATGAAACTAATGTAAGCACCATATGCAACCTTATCTAAACAGTAGTTGAAATTTCATTACTGCAGTAATGAACTCTTTCTACTTCTATTATCCTTGCGCAGCTGCCAACAAGAAATGCAGAGTCATCAAGTGAGCGGCAAGGCTAATAAATGTCAATTTCTTTTTATGAAGAAGCTACTCTATTTCTTGTAATAGAGAGTTCTTTGTATTCTTAGTCCACACAAAAGGCAGCACCTGAGAGTACAGAAGCGCTTGGCACTCTGACTAACATCCCCCCTCCTCTCGTTAAGCATTTCTTATCACAAATTCATATTTTCAGGATAGCAAATTTAAACCTAAGGGAGGAAGCATTTTATATATTTTTGCAAACTATAATTAAATTGCTTTAAACAGTTAAAAGAGTAAATGTAAAACTGAATTAAAATGTTGCCCCAAAGCAAAAAGTAAACTAAATATGCAAAGAGTACAAAATTTCACTGTTTTTAAAGCTGATGGATACTTTGGGCTTTTGGAATATGGGAAATTTGTTTAAACTAAAAAAAAAAAAAATCAAAACTAAAAAAAATCACCTGCAGCACTATAGTTGTATTTTTTTTTACCTCCAAATGCCCACTGATAAGATTTAGCATAAAAAAAGTCCTTTTGCTTTCAGTGATGTACTGAAGTTTCAATAATTTCCCCTCCCTTCTGAAATCTTAATAAAACCATGAAATAAATTATTATAGGATAGTATAAATGGAAGTGCACATTGCCTACCTTAGCATTAGTTGGATTTTGCAGCAACATTTGGTAGTACATTTAATATCTTCAGAATAACACATGCTGCTTGAATTCCCTCTTCCTTCCTTCCTTTTTTTTTTTTTGTTGTGGTGGTAACTTTCAGAATGGTGATAGTAATTCTCAGAATGGTCTCCTCTTAACCACATTCTATCTACTGGGCTGCTTCTGAGGAAGAGATTGGATGTGTTGCTGTTCCTATTGCCTTGATTAGAAGCTCTAAACCAGAGGTCACCAACCTTCTGGGCATCAGGGACCGGTTCCGTGGAGAGAGGTTTTTCCATGGGCCAGAGAGTGCGTGGTTTTGTGTGCTGCCTGCATCTCGTGGATGGGGCTTTGCTTGTTTGTGCGGACCAGTTGCTGGCATGCCACAGACAGGTATTGGGCCATGGACCGGGGGTTGGGGACCTCTGATCTAAACTATTTTACCAATAGTCTCAACCTGATCAACCAGTAGTCCCTTCTGTTCATGAAATTTGTAAATAACTAAACCAATGCGTCTTCTGTTCTATCCTTAGCCCTTTTCTATTAGAAGCAGATGGTTTAGAAAAACCCTGTTGGGATGCATGGGATTTGGGAAAGTTAAATGTTTTTAGAATCTTATAAGATTTTTATTAGAAAGAAAAATATGCAGATGAGTGCATTCTCAAAATAGCTTTAACTTGCTTTCATTATGAGTAAGACCAATGCCATTAGGGTAATTTTTTTATGGGGAATGTGACTTCTTATTAGCAAGAATGATGTTTTAAGATTTGATCTCAGGAAAACTGAGATATCAGAGATAATAAATATGTTGTAGACTCCACTTTGTTGCTCTAGGCTCCTGGGAATTTTGAGGGGGAAAATTGCTTTTCCTCATATGTTAGGAAATGCAAATAAATATTAATTCCCAAGAATCATTAGAATTTTTAAAAACAGCGAATGATGAAATACGATTGCACATCTGAATGGATAAATAGGAAGCAATTAAGGACATATTGTTTTGTAATTAATATATTAATGTTTCAGTTCCTATTTTAAGGTTCACTACTTGTATAAATCTGTGTCTTGCCTTCTACAAAATATATGGGGGTATGGCATGTAGTAAATATATTCTTTGAGATGTCAAATCAGACACTCGTTTAGTTAAATAGATACGATTTACTCATATCTGACTAAGCCAACTAGAATTTACTTTAGTGATAACCAGTTCCAAATGATTTAAGAGGCGTTATTTTGCTGTGTAGATGACTGAGTCTGAATTTAACCCATTATAAACAATTATATATTTCAATATATGATGTTTGCAATTCAAAATGTTCCTCATCAACTTCAGTGTATGAAAAGACCGGCTACACATTGTATAAATCTTTTTGCAGTACATACATATGTGCTGATATGCAAATAGCCAATTGAAGTATTAGAGACCCTCCAAAAAAGAAACAAAATACTGATGTATGTGATATAAACTGGATTTAATTACAGTCTGAAATTCTGATCTATTAATGTAGACTTTTCAAACTTGATATTTCTAAATGTGTTGGGTAACAAGCCCCACAATCCTCATCCATCTCTGCCATTAGGCTATTTGTAGAAATGAAATGCCATGGCCAAAAAGGGAGGAATTAACAGCCTATCTTTAATTGCCTAATGGAGCCATTTGAAAAGATTAAATATTCCTGTTTGGTAGTCAAAAAATCTGTCTTAAATGTCTAAGAGCAAAAAAGAATCTTATGTTTTACAGCCAGTGGTGGGATTCAGATATGTGAACAACCGGTTCTGTCTGTGGATGCCGCTTCCGGAAGTCAATTCTGGGCTTGGGCAACAAAAAAAGAGCTACCGGTTCTGCCAAAGTGGTGTAAACTGGCTGAATCCCACCACTGTTTACAGCTGAATTTAACACATCTTAAGAATGCTTCTGTGTCCCACATTTTGTTGTATGCATGCAATAATTGTATTGCTATTTCATGTGCTTTGCATAATTATCTCTTTTTTAAAACCATATTTAATGGCAGTTAAATATTAAGCTCTGCTCTAGGAAAGTTAATAGTAAACCAGAAAGCACTAAAGTTCTTTCTAAATGTATATTTTAGAAAGTGAGCAGATAGGAAGAATAGCATTGTATTGGATCTATCCTTATGTCAGTAAATATGTATAAAAAAAACATGGAAGGAAACAATGAAATCAGTTATCTTTGGATTTTCAGAATACCCATAGTGAGTCCAGATATTAGAAATAGTAATACAGAAAGACTCCTGGGAGTTCAGAATAGTTCATATTTTTCTTTTCAGTAAGCCTTCTTACTTTAGAGCAGAGATGTCAAACACAAGGCCTGGGGGCTGAATGCGGCCCACGAAGTGGTTTCATGTGGCCCGCGAAGCCATCCTGGAAACAGTGAGGGAATGGCTCCCTTTGCCTTGGCCCTGGCCCAGGCCAGCTGGGAGCCAATGTACAATTAGTGGTGGCCATCTATGCTGAAACGCATTCTGTCTTAGCTCCATAAGTCCCTCCCCCTGCATGGCCTGAAAGGAACAGTGAGGGTCCTCCAGTGGACCATGCCTTGGCACTTGCCCTGGTCCCACCTCCTTCTGCCAGAGACCTTCAGATCTGTCCCACTCCTGCTCAGGCCCCCACAGGCACCCTTGACGCGAATGATGTAGAGCTGGCCACACCCACCCAGTAGGCCACACCCACTCCATCCACACCCACCCGGCCCCCTGAGGGCAACCGCAATGCTGATGCGGCCCTCAATGGAATTGAGTTTGACACCCCTGCTTTAGAGTACAGAAGACTAGTGTTATATTGTTATGAGACTGAATTACAGGGGTGTGTCTAAGGCTAACCTTAGTGAATCTCTTGATATGACAGGTTTTTGAAATGGGATTCTCCTAATTTTAGCTTTAAACAGTCTTCTCTATTGATTCTTTAGAGACATCAGAAAATATTATTTTGGAATAATGGTGTCCATGCTTTCTTCGCCTAAATATATGTATTAGAAACAAAGTTATATTATTGCTATTTTAAAAAAGGGATGGGTGGGAATAATATCAGAGACTTCAGAGGAAAAAAAGTAAGTCCATAACTTCTTGCACATCTGTTTTCAGTTTTTAAATTAGCAATTGGTTTCTGGAAAACATTTGGAAAGACACTTTGGAAGCATCCCTCAAAGGGCAGTGCTCAGTTTATGGCTTGGATTTTTATTCAATTTCTGTTAGAAATTTATGGTAAAACCTGCCATTAATTCAACAATTTGCTGCTGGGTTTTGATAACAGGATATTGGAAGGATGTCATTCTAAAAAAAGACTGGGGCCCATAGATTACCTGGATCAGGACTCAAATAATCACCTAAGTTTTTAACCTTTTAGAGCAGGGCTTTTCAACCTTTTCACTCACTGTACCACTTTTAGGATATGGCAGTATCCAAGTACCACCAGTCGCCTAGCAAGGTGTCAAAAACTTGATGACCAAAAAAAAAAAAAAGGAAAAAAGTGATAAAGTACAGGTAGTCCTCGACTTACAACAGTTCGCTTAGTGACTCTTAGAAGTTACAATGGCACTGAAAAAAGTGCCCCCCAAGCCACAGCCGAGCAAGACAACTGCCTGCCTGCCCGGCGGCGCTCTTCCTCCTGTCCGAGGTTTTCATTGTTGTGAGCATTTCTGTTGAGGATTGGTAGTGGGGGTGGGGTGGGGGTATTTGGTTTTTATTCCCCCCATCTGCTGGGTGGTTGCAGCAGGTTTTGATCACTTCACATGACCCTGGGACACTGTGACCATCATAAATATGAATCAGTTGCCAAGCATCTGAATGTAAACCACAAGACCTTGGAGATGCTGCAACATTCCAGCTGATCGGTCCTTTTCTGGGCTCAGCAGAAGCGCCAGGATCAGCACTGAGCTCCAGCTGGAGCCTGGCGCTGATCCTGGTGCTTCCACTGAGCCCTGACAGCCCCGAAGAAGTGCCGATCAGCTGGAAAGCGGCACTGATCCTGGTGCTTCCGCTGAGCCCTGACAGCCCTGCAGCTCCAGCCATCTCTCGCTCAGGCTTGTGTGGTGCTGCCATCGGTTCAGCTCATTCCTCTCCCCCGCTACCACTTTTCTAGGATGGTCACGTACCACCTCCAGGTGCCAATGTACCACAGGTGGTACCCGTACCACTGGTTGAAAAGCCCTGTTTTAGAGGCAATAGATTTAATTTCACCTACTTGGAAAAAAATCTTTAGATGGGGCAAATAGTAATGAATTGGCATAACTTTTCTTATTTAAATCTTCCTTCCTTTCTATCCACTTCTCTAAAGTGCCTCTATAAAATATATCTAAACAGTCTTTCACCCAATCAATTAATGAGTTTTAGTAGAGAGTTTTATTTGGAGTTCCCTATTTAATCTTGCACTCTGACCATGATGTCACACTTCTTTTCATGTATTATATTGTAATTATATTGTACAATAGGGACTTTGTTGTTTGAATAAGGGTGATTCATATTAGTGTTTATTAATTTTCTTATTAGTAAAATTAGAGGGTATTTTGCTTGGACTAGTAAACTTTGTGAAGAGCTTGTTTCAGATAATTTGCACAGTTGGCAGACAATATATTTGAAGAGTTCCTTTCTCTAAAGAGTTCTCTAAACTCTTTCTCTAAAAGAGTTTCTTTTAAGACCAGCTTTCTCATCTCCAATTTGGCCATTTTAACTTCACTCCTGGTGTCTTTAGGGATACTTCCATATCTCAGCAGGTGATGTTCCACTACCTTGATCAGATTGATTAACAGTTGGTGGTATCTTTCCTAGGAAAACCAGAGTTGTAGACTACACTGAGAGATTGGAAAAATTTCCAGCATGCAGTGACAAACCACATCCATATTGTTGTCACAAAACTATACAGTTATTGTTGTCTAGAAAATTAAATGCTGTATGCTTCCTTTCCAGGCGGCCATCAATGGAGTTATACCACAGGAAAATGGCATTTTAGAAAGGTAAGTGATGTTTTTATACTCATTATCCTAGAAGCATTATGAAATAACGTACTTGCACTGCTTGTTTTCTGCTTTAAAATACATTTTAATCATCTAAATATGAAGCTTTTATTTAAGCAATACAAAAAATAGATTAATATCTAAATTAATTTGTCAATGCTTAAGTTTCAATTAGTTTTGCAAATTCCTTCACCTGCTTGTAGTTCAGATACTCTGTAGAAATAAGCTCTTACATCTTCCAGTGAAATTATTATCCTGTAATAATTAATGAACACATTTCCCATAATCAAGATTGAAACCAGTTAGGTTAATAAGAAGACAAATGTTCTTAGTGATAGACTAAGAAATATAGCTCTCTTCTTCACTTAATGTTCAATTGTCCCCTTTAATTGTAATCAGTAATGGCTTACACAGCAATCCAATCTTCTTTCTCTAAGAAAAGGCATTATTTATATCAGGGGCAAGATTAGTGTAAAGTTCCCCCCAAAATGAAAGCCTGTGGACTGTGAAATTTGGGGATCCAGAGTCTCTTCCACTGAATTCCTTATTGTTATTTCTGCTTTTTGACACTTCAGAGGTAATATCTTGGCTAAGAGGGAATTGTGAAATCAGACTTCTCTGAGATTGAAATCTCTCACCTTTTCTTCAGAAAGGGGATTTATATTATTGCTCTTGAAATGCCTCCTGTTTGCCATAAAAGCGTATCTCTAAAAAAGTCAATTATTGACATATAGCATTATTTTCTTAAAACTGTTTTAAGTGTATCCACTTTATTCTTGCATATTCTGTTTAATGTTTTGTTTCCTAATTTCTGTCTTTGTTGATTTGCAACATGTGGTACTGAAAACCAACTAATTGACATTATATACTAGTCTGCATTAAATCTTTCAGCATTTTAGAATTGATCTGAACAGAGATTGGTTATCTCTTGATGGAATTAACAAATATAATAGCTCAGAATTCTTTCAGAAAATAAATTCCATTATGTTTAGTTGCTTTTAAAATAAGACTAATTTTGCTGTCCGGTAATGCATCTCAAAATGATAAAAATAAAATTCAGTCCATCAAAATCTATGCATACCTGGATTTTTAGACTTTTTAATTTTGCTATATACACGTACCTCAGAAGGTTTCTCCTAAAGATTAGCATTCAGTATGATACTTTGTAAGAAACTATAGCTGGCAATCTGAGCATGAAGAAGCAATTTTGGACATTATGAGATTGTTTGGTCTCAACTATCGTAGCGTATAGCAATAGATAAATGTTTATTGGGACTCAGTGAAAGAAAGGAAATTGTTGAAAATGTCCTAAATTTCCCCATTTCTACTACTTTAGCCATCAAGCCTCTCACTACTTTAGCACTAACTGATTGTGTTTTTCTCTCTCTAAAAACTGCTGACATTCACTAAAACAATAACAACAAAAATTGTCCTGGTTTCGTTGGGAGAATATGTAAACTGGGAAAATATTGTCCCTGTGACGGGTGCAAAAGAGTGCTGCGTGGGGAAAGAGAATTGTGCTTGCGAAGTCAGGCGGCTTGTGTTGCGTTCCTAAATTGCAGATATACAAGGACACGTGCAAACTCGGACAGAACCAAAAACAGAGGGATCACTGTGGTTTGGGAATATGAGGACTGATCCCTTTTCTCTTTTGCTTAGTTTTGAAAGCTAACTGCATTGACCATCTGGCCGGAAAGGTCTTTACAAGCAGTAGTCTTCTTGCTTCCCACTCCAGCACAGAAAAATCTCTGAATTGGGGCCAATATATTTTTGCATGGAAATGTATACACCTAAACACAAGCGCGCCCATTGTTCATCTTAACTCTGAAACTGCCCATGGCTTTGGAGTTGAGAATTACCCTTTGTTCTTTCTGATTAGCAAGAAAGAAAAGGGGGTTTTGTGTAAAAAAGAATCACAGTGTTCTATTTTTTTGTTTGTTTCCCCTTCACTCAAACATAATTTGTAATGCAGAATGATGCAAATTATAGTAGCCAATGGTTAAGAGGACAAATGCTCTGATATTAAAACTGCACAGATTTGTCAGCAACAGTTTACTGAGCAGTTCAGTTGAACAGTGACTGAGTTGTTTGTAAGTGTTTGTCTATAGTTTGCGTTGGATGGATCTGAAAAACCAAAAGCTCAATATAAGCTTCCTATTTTGAAAAACAGATAAGAGAGGAAACATTTTAAATTGCTGGTTTACTTATTAATGTATCGAGGATTTTAAATTCATATCTCATGGTTCTGAACAATTAGAATTTATTTATTTGGGTTCTTGTTGTGGGGAAAATAGGAGAAAGAAGGTGTGTTGGATAGGTTTGCCCCCTTGAGTTATTTGTAAAAATAATAAAAGGGTATAAATAAAATGTATTCAATTTGCATGGCCACACATCTCAACAAATGACTGTGGGCAGCGAACAATCTTAAAATAAAGTGAAAACAATTCCCATCACCAATACAAAAATTATAATACATGGCGACCGAGCAAGATATCACAAGGCAGAAACTAGCATAGCCAGAAGTCAAGACCCTTCACACCCTCAAGGCCGGGCATTGAACCAGGTTTCTAGGGTCTTACAAAAGGCCAGCAGAGTCTAGGCCAGGGGTAGGCAACCTTGGCTCTTTTATGATTCGTGGACTTCAACTCCCAGAATTCCTGACCTAGCATGGCTGGCTCAGGAACCTGGGAGTTGGAAGTCCATGAGTCATAAAAGAGCCAAGGTTGCCTACCCCTGGTCTAGGCTGTTCTAATTTCTGGTGAGAGAATGCAATTAGCAGGCATGATGGCAGAAATGTTGGGCCCCAATAACCAGCATTTTGGGGCTAATAGACCCAGATCATGGCCATCTTGCTGAATTGGATTCGTTGGGAAGAAACAACTGGAGAAAGATAGTCCTTCAAGTAACCCAGTCCCAAACCAGGAAGGCCTTTAAATTCAAGGCAGTACCTTGAATTGTACCTAGAAACACATGGACAGTTAGGGTAACTCATGAAAGTAGTGCCAAGTAGCCAGCACTATTTACTACCTGGACAGCTGTACTCTGCACCAATTGAAACATCCAAATCTCTTCAAAGGCGGCCCCATTTAGAGTGCATTGCAGTAGTCCAAACAGGAGGCCACAAAGGTATGAGCAGCAATGAGTAGGGACTTACTCAATCATACACCTTTTTAAAAAATTCTTCCTGGCCTGAAGTGTCAGAGACAATTTAAGTAAAGGTGGACAGATCTGTGTGCCCTCCAGCCAAATAACTTTTCAAAAGCTGAAGAGAAATATAGTGTGAAGCAAAATAAAGACAGAGTTTGAAAACGCAATGGATCGGGCGGAAGAAGAAAAAAAAGCTTTCAGGACATCCTGCTGGGAGAGGCAGTGAGCAGCAGTGCAGAATGCTGTTGACTTTTCCATTCTGTACTCCCTTCCTTTCTCCCTTCTGATCACATGACCCAGAGGCAGTATGGGCAGCCTTCACATCCATAACAAGAATGTATGGCCATTGTCGTTGGTTAAGGATTGGAAGGAATTCCAGAAGCTATATTTTTCATGATTTCCTTGCCTCAGAGGACACTGCTGATAATCTTCTTTCTTTTTTACAATTTAGAAATAGGAGGGAAAAATATTTAAATATCTTTTCCGAATTACAAATATAATCTCCTTGTGACCTATGAAAAATTTGTTCAGATATAAATAATAATAGTGCCCATTTCGGTGTCTTCCTCCTGCCTGCCTTCCTGTTTCCAAGAGAAAGTAGAGCATTTGCAAGTAGACCTGATGTGTTGTGTATGCAGCCATGATAGTAGTTTTTCTCATTTAGAAAGAGAGAGAGAGAAAAAGACCAGCTGGCATCATATGACACATCATATGAGAGCATTGCAGAACAAAGGGAAGGAGACAGTCTCAAATAAATAATTGGATTGAAGCCAAGAATGTGCAATGTTTCTTGAGCCCACATACCAGAGTATTTCCTAACTATAACCAAAACTCCCTGGACAAAAAGAATGGACAGGGACAGGGCAAACCTACTGAAAAATATAATAATATTAAATATAATCAGTGCAATTAATTTTCCCCCTTGTACTGCATGAAAATTAGTAGGTTTTGAAGAGGCTCTGGATTCTGAGGGGTGGCAAATTGTATATCCCTGTTCAAAGCCAGGTAGGTTTTACAAAATTAAAATATATTTGAAAAACCAGGAACCCAATGTTGCTTTTAGTGGATGGGATGTGTTTTGCATTATCAGTGTTCAGTGTTAGTTATATTCCATAACTACTACTTTAGATATGTCTACAGGAAAAAGTAGAGGAAGAAATATATTTTATTTGTATACTTGCAAATTGGATCAAAATGAAACCACATGTCCTATCAGGTATTTTACATATTTGTTAATAAACAAATCTTGATAGTAAATTACAAAAGTCAGTTACTGTGATACATACCATCATTTTACAATATTTGTATTTATTTAATAGCCAGAACAATATTACATTGCTTTCAAATACAAAGGCAAATTTGAAACTGAGTGTTTTCAGTTTAGCATCTAATTCATTTTATAAGTGTGCTTTTGAAAAGCATCTAGGCTAAAAAAGATAGGGTAAGTCCTGACAACTGTTAATATTATTGCAGGTCAGGATGTCAGCAGAATTAATTGGAGGTCTATTTAGTTATGGCAAATAATTCTGAGAATCAAAAGGTCTTTGTTCAGGAACAAAATGTTTCCCCCCTGTGGCTGCATTTCTGCACTGTTCATGGAAGTAACCTCAAATAATGTACCCAAAAGTGAAACCAGTTGTTTGTACCTAAGGGCTACACAAATTTATTTGACAGATTCTCCAAACAAAGCAAAATAATCAAGTCTTCTTTGCAGAAACGTTTGGGAAATTTATTAAGGCATAGCAAATATCAGAACAAAATTCATATACGTTACAATACTGTATGAGATGTAACTGAGATAATAATAATAATAGTAGTAGTAAAGTTGAAAGGGACTTTGGAGGTCATCTAGTCCAACCCGCTGCTCAGGCAGGAAACTCTACACCATTTCGGACAAATGGCTGTCCAGTCTCTTCTTAAAAACTTCCAGTGTTGGAGCATTTACTGCTTCTGGAAGCAGGCTGTTCCACTGATTAATTGTTCTCACTGTCAGGAAGTTTCTCCTTAGTTAATAAAAAATGTGGCACCCAAGCAAAATGGAGCCTGATATTAAACAGTAATGTTAACTATTATCAGGCTTCAGTCAGTCAGTCAGTGATAGATATTTATATCATCAAACAATGGAAGCTAGCCCAAAGCAAAGGTAAGGCAGAGTAGGAAATGCGGGCTGATCTTCAGCTGTAACGTGATTGTAAATGGAATCTGTTTCATTCTTAGACTGATCATTTGCCCAAACGAATAGGGAAGGGCAAAGGAGTAGGGACTCCTCTATATTCAACTGCCCCACATTTTATCTTTGGCCAGCTCCCAAATGTTTATTGTTTACCTATGGTTTATATATTTTTTTCATATATTATGTGGCAAGAAGTCTTGCTTTAGAAATTCTTAGTGGTTGCAGGCTTAGGAAAATGTCAGATTACATTCTCATTATTATTGCCACTTTGCTTTTTGGTATTTTACAAGTTTGCTTATTTTCACAACCTTATAAGGCAGTTCTTTTATCTTCTTCTATTATAAGGACCTCATGTTGTGTCTTTACAAGCCTTCTGATTGATTCCTTGTTATAGCCATAAAGGTCTTCTGCTGATTGATTTTTGTCCATGGGCTGGTTCAGGACGCTTTGGTGTAGATTTAGGTATCATTCACTCTTATACAGTTCTCTCTAGTTTTCAGCCTTTTGTCAACTACTTTGTGACTACCTCAGACATTTCTACTAATTCCTCATTTATATTCTAAGTGGCTTGTGCAATTCAAGCCTTTTGCAATGGCTAGTGCACACAATTGATATCAATACATGTAAGCATATGAGCGTGCATACATTTGGAAAATTGTCTTTAATTGTCTTTATTTGAAAGCAAATTGATATGTTTTTCAGTGAATATAGTGGGGAGTCTTTACAAAGGCCTGCCTATGGTCCCGCTAGTCATCCTTCGTCGTCATCTTCAGCATCTTCCTCCTCTTCTGCATTTCGTCACGTAGTGCCATCTAGACAAATAGTGGAAAGACAACCGCGAATGCTTGACTTCAGAGTGGAATACAGAGATCGAAATGTGGATGTGGTGCTTGAAGACAGTTCTACAGTTGGTAAGAAACTACTGAGTTAAAAAAACAAACACAAGACCAAACTAAGTACCAAATTTAACTGTAATACAAATACGTGTAAGAGCTGAAATTGGCAGGGTGAACTGATTTGTAAAGACACAACAGGTGCATTCCAATCTCAAGCTTGGGAAAAGCAGGGCCAAAAGTCCATTGACTTGAAAGGGCAGGGGGAAAAGTTTTAAAATTTTACACTGAGGCTGACCTCTGTGTGTTCTGTAGTACCCAGGTGTTTGTATACATGACTCATTCATTTTCTGCAGGGAAACAATTTATCTAGCTTTCTGTTGGTGGTGGTGATGGTTTTTATGCTTTTCATTGTTTTTAGTGTTTTATTGCTGTCTGTGAGCTGTCCAGGGTTATGTTAAAAGGATGGGCAGTTATATAAATCTTTTAAATAAATGAATAGCTCTGAAGCTTTTTCTTTTTGTTATCTAATTTCTGAAAGAGTAGAGATTTATAGCTATAAGTGACCTGAAGTCTGATGTATCCTTTCTTTGAAGGATAGGGTAGAGAAGAGACATATAAAAACACTTGTAAAGTTAATGTTAATCTTGGGAAACAAGGACCGGTAGAAAACATGGTTGGATTCTTTAAGTATTTGAATTAATAATTGTATGAGGGCGAAAATATGATCAAAGATACCAGAATCCATGTTAATACACTGTATAATATCTCTTTTATACCACGTTAGACTCACAGAGCTTGTATGCTTTTGAATTCAGCTTAAAGATTACAAAATGTTGTGCTTGAAGTGAGGCCAGAATTAAGAGAAATATCACTGTGACAGAAAAAAAAGGGAATTCTGCCCTCATTATAAAGTCATCTTGGAGTCATTGATTTACAAAATACAGTGATTTCTTTTATGCTGTAAACTGTACCATGCTGGAATTAGTGATATGTATTGCAGCAACTAGTTTTCCTATCTACTAATCCCATATTACTTATATATTATTTTGCTTCCTTGAGCAAAGAAAGAAGATGAAAGTTTATTACAATGGTACCTTGGTACCCAGCTGCTTTGAAACTCATTGAATTTGGTACTCAATGTATTTTGACATGAAAATTTTGTCCCAGTACTCATCATTTGTTTGGTACTCAACACACAAGCTAGAACTTGTCAGTGTTGGCTGCCTTATGACTCACTTATATTATTTCTTATGGGAAATTTTTTTTGATATGCATTGTTTTTGGTACTCGTTGTGCCTCCCAGAACCAATTAACAATGAGTACCAAGGTACCACTGTATTTGTTTAAAACAGTTTTTGTCCATTCTATATGATTATTGATATCAAACAAATGTTTCCTTTGAAAATAAGTATTTGTTTAGTTTATTTATATTTCACATTTCTGAAGAACCCATCTCTCTCAAAGAGGGACTTTGGATAGTGTATTTAGTTTAAAAATTAAATATAAAAATCATAGGCATATTGTATCAAGTGTTTGTCCAGAACGCTTTTTTTTAAAGCATGTAATATATAATCAAAGAGCGCCACCTAGTGGCAAATATATGTTTTATTTGCTAAGCAAGTACTTGTTTGGCTATTTATTTCATATCCATTATTATGCTCAATTCTTCACTAGGTTGTGTCTTGCTTTGAGATTGGTTGAAATCCAGGTTTTCAGTCTCATTTTTGAGTTTGCACAGCTCCAAATGAAAAAATGATATAAATGTTTTTAAGATCACTTCAGCTAATAGATTAATAAAATGCTCATTTTTAATCAGCAGGGGCCTTTTATATTTTGAGACAATTTTTTTATACAAGTTGTGATTTATTTTCTAGAAGTAGCAGGATTTAAGAGACATTTGTGTTGACATGAATGAGAGGATGAAATATGATGCCTTTTGAAGTATATGTATCATGTCAACAAAGTATGCATTTTTCTTTCTAAAAAAAGTTTTCCAGGGAACTGTAAGGAAATATTGGTATCTATAGAGATTTTGCTCATAACTCTGTATTTATCTGAAGTAGTTTTCCATATGTGCAAATATAGTATGAAGAGAATATATATATATATGAACATTAGTCACAGTATCTCTGGGGTTAAGCAGGTTATGTTTATTTATTTATTTAGAAAATTTATATTGCCACCTATTCTCACATGGCAACTCAAGATGGCTTACAGGACATACAAACACAATATAAAAAAAAATAAAAAAAATAAAATAATAACCCCACCACCCTGGCAAAAACATACAGTACATTCATATCAGCCACGTCTTCAGGGCCTTCTGAAAGAGTGTCAGAGTTGGGATCAGTCTAATTTCCAGAGGGATGATTTTCCAGAGGGAGGGACCCACCACGGAGAAGGCCGGGACCCGAAACATTCCTTGCCTGCCCTCTGATTAAGAGACAAGGAATGTTGATTTAAATGAAAAAATAAATTTCTATATTTTGAGATAAGGGTAAAAAAATCCACCAGACTGTATTCTGTTTTGATTTCCTAAGTTTTACTTTTTACTAAACTAAGACCATACTTTCATTAGTGTTTCAGTGGTACTTTAATCCCTTCCATTTGTCTCTTGCTCAGGGTCAATTCACACATTATACAGAAGCAAAGTTGGGTTTTCCGTTAACTATGCATGCAATAAAACTGCTGTTAGGCATCATATTAACCTATTTTTAAAAATTTTTTATAAGTATTTGATATATTCAAGTCTGTCCTTTTAATAGCAAATTTAACATCTTCACATTCTTGCAAAAGCAGCTGTGGGTTACGTGCATAAATGTTTCAGAGTCAGATATTACCTTTTTTCCCTCCTAGTGATGCAATTGCATAAAATGCCCACCAGATGGAAGGAACATATATCATATGAATAGAGAAATAATTAAAATCATCCAGAACTTGGATGACATCGGCTTTGTGGAACATGAGACTAATGTTTTGCATTTGATCATACTATATTCGCTATTGAGCAACAGTTGTAAAATGTTGCTCAGTGGGATAATTCAAGTGCTTGAAAGGGCTTTGAATAAAATAACAAGTTGTCTGTGGAGCTTAGAATCAAAACAGTAATTTTGATCTGGAAAAGAAATACAAAGTTTTTTTAAGGAAAGAATTCTACTCTAATTTAGTCTTTAGCTCTGTTAATAACAATCATAACAGTTAATTAACATTCTCTGTGAGTGATATTGAGGACCACGTTTTAGTGATGGAACAGAATGCATTTATGTAAAAGAGCCAAGAGTTGGTCTTCAAACTTTTGAAGTAGCAGCCATGGGAAAGAAGGAATACCATTGTAGAATATGCCCAGCTGAAAAAGCATTTGGTAGCTGTTAGCTAAGATGGTAAATGAGTAGTCACATTATGTGTAAATTTTAAACATTTCGAACAATTTAGAAAGGTTTTTAGAGCCCAAAGCATATAACATAGAAAGTAAAATTCTACTGCAAATTATATATCCTAAACATATCAAAAGATCCATTTGTTTAATTTAGAAATGAAATGTGAATTCCTTTAATCCATTTTATATAACAATATCAAAATTCAATAGCATTTCAAGTAAAACCTATTATTATTTTGCATTTCTCTCTTTTATGTACTAAACATTTTTCAGTGTTTCATTTTTAAGGCTACTATATATGAGTTTGTGAGTTTATACTTAAACACATATGTTTAAAAAACCTTGATTGAATAATGTTTGGAATTCTTAGATATTATTTTGCCTATGCTTTATAAAGATAAATCAGAAAAAGCAGAAATGTTTTTTGATGATTCTCCTTTGTGTTTTTTTCCAGGAGAGATCAAACATATTTTAGAAAATGAGCTGCAGATTCCTGCATCAAAAATGTTGCTAAAAGGCTGGAAGACTGGAGATGTAGATGATAGTGTAAGTTTTTATATTTTTGCCAATTAGTGCTGATATGTCAGAAATGTCTAAAATATTCTGGATTTAATGGCATAATTGCTTGTACAAGGAAGGAACGATATTTACAATATTTACGAAGGATAGCACTTAACTTTGACAATAGTCAACTTGGACAATATGCAGGGCAGTATATTCTATTCCTTCAGTGTAAGTTTTCTCTTTTAATATTCTGTATCTGAAGATTCCCAGTAAGAATGACATGGCACCTTCTGGTGGTCACACAGACAAGATATACAGTAGTCCCTGACTTACGGCCACAATTGAGCCCAAAATTTATGTTGCTAAGTGAGAAATTTGTTATGTGAGTTAAGTGCCCTATTTTATGACCTTTCTTGCCACAGTTATTAAGTGAATCATTGCAGTTGTTAAGTTAATAACATTGTTGTTAAGCGAATCTGGTTTACCCATTGACTTTGCTGGTCAAAAAGTCGCAAAAGATAATCACACGATCCTGGGACTCTGCAACTCTCATAAATGTGAGTCAGCCGCCAAGCATCTAAATTTCAATCACGTGACCATGAAATGCTGCAATGGCCATAAGTGTGAAAAATAGTCATAAGTTACTTTTTTCAGTGATGTAACTCTGAATGGTCACTAAATGAACTGTTGTAAGTTGAGGACTACCTGTACACTGTGTAAAAACAGAGAATTCCCCACCTCCACCCTAGTGGAGAGGGATAGAAATCATGTAAAACCTTGATCATGGGGCCATGGCATGATACATCATCTGTATCTCTCTGCTCTTGGAGTTTAAGGGAAGGTGGACTGTGTGTGTGTATATATATAATTCTGATAGCACTTCTTTTAATGTACTATCAGTGATTAAGAAAAGTTTATAGGAAACAGATCTTTTCAATTGTCCTCTTACAACTTTCTTTAGTTCCTGTTCCAAGTAGCAATAAAAAGATTTCTCTATCTCATTATAAATATTTTTTATTTACCCCATTGTTTATATGATATTTCTTTATTTATTGACAGTACATAAGCTGCCACCATCTCGATGACTTTGGGTTGTGTATGATATGAAACAAAAGTAATAATTAAATCCAAACCAATATTAAAACAAGATGAACCACAAAAGAAAAACAAAAATAAAACCTATGATAAAATCCAAGATGGGTATTCATAATCTGCCATCTGGAACCGAAAGCACATTAACTAGCTATTAATCAGCTGTTTATGAAAGGTAGCATAGTGGGGGGCTGCACATATTTCTGTGAGAAGAATATTAAAGAAATAGGACAGAAGTCATCAAAGCCAGCTGGATCCAGGAATGGTTTCCTCAAGAAAGGGCATATAAGCACCTCATTCAAAGCAGGAAGCCTCAAAGAAACATTCATGACCGTCTCGATCCACCCATTGGTGTCCCATCTAGCTGCCTGAAATAGTCAGGAAGACATGGATCCAGGGCACAGGTGGCAGGAAAGTCTTTACACTTCCTTGGGTTCTGCAAGCTACAAAGAAGCCCAGGTCATATCACAAGACAGAACCCTTCTTTATCATCATAGGCTTTGCCAACTGATACCCATTCATAAGTAACTCAGTCACAACAGCCATGAAATGGCATTCTGCCCATCTCCTGAATGGCATTTCCCAACTATATTCTAAATTGAAACATGCCTTTTTAACACTTTGTGTGTAACTGAGTGTTCCTGGTGGTTTTCTGAGAATCCCACCTTTCCTTTGAAGAAAAGCTGGGCTTGTAGCATGCCCATTTTTAAAATAATCATTAAATAACAATGAGAGTCAGTTTGCTGGCCTAGAAATCAGGAGACTGTTGAGTTCTACTCGCTCCTTAGGCATGAAAACCAGCTGGGTGATTTGGAGCCATCCTCCTCCCTCAGCCCGACTCCCTTCACTTCACTTTACTTCACGGGGTTGTTGTTGTGGGGAAAATAGGAGGAGGAGGGAGTGTTGATAAGTTTGCCGCCTTGAGTTATATATGAGAAAAAAGGCAGGGATAAAAACCTAAAATAATGAAGATTGTGTTGCAGGCAGATTGTCTTGGTCCTGGTAATATAACAGTCAAGATTTATCTTTATCAGTGTATCATTTACTGAAATAAATTGATGTATTCAATTGGAAACTGAATGGCAATTTATTATCAGTGCAGTTACATTCCACAATGAGATAGTAGTTGGGGGGGAAACTTGATTATCTCTGAAGTGCCTTTGAATTTATGATTCATAAATCATGCATGAAGGTGCAGCATCACTATATATCTCCACCAGTTACATGCAAGGTACAATTAATTTGCTGTATAAAAGGATGGCGGAGCAGACATATTTATATGTGGAAGATTTTGGGTTCAGTCTTTGGGATCTCCAGATAAAACGTGAAACATCTCTAACACTGGAATTGTTGTCAGAGATCTGTGATCTGGATAGGCATAACAGACTTTTGACCCAAGGGCCACATAGTCCTCAGATACCTAAGGTGACAGTTTCCCATTGAGTGAACAGAGTAGGTGGGTTTGCATGATCATCTGCAGACGTGGCAAATGGCAAAATTGGTCTTGCGGTGGAAACTGCACACCTTTAGTTTCTGCATTGTGACACTGTATGGAAGTTCATAAAGGGTGGAGCTTGTGTCACAATACATATTTTCTGTTTTTGATAAAATCAGAACTTGGTGTAGAAGCCCTTGAGGATTCAGAGGGGTAATATTCATGTAGAGCTTTACAAATCAAGCCAAAAACCTGGAAAATTACAGGGATTCCTCAATTTACAACTAACCATTTAATGATCACTCAAAATTACAGTGGCCTCAGAAAGGGTGCTTTTGTTGAATATTTTAACTCTGTTCCTGCAACTCAGCAAAGGATTTCCCCACCCTGTGGACAAAGGGGACGGGAAATCTTTTTTGGGTTGCAGGAATGGAGCTAAAACATTCTGGACTTTAACTCTGTTCCTGCAGCCCAACAAAGGATTTCCTGCCATGGTCTCTCTCCAGGCCTTCCTAACTCTGCCCTCCCTCTGTCTGAGCCAATGCAGCCCCATCCAGTACTATAGATGGGAAGGTCCCAGATCAAGAAAGCCAAAGCCACTTGGTTTTACCAGGAGTTATGGTATACAAGAATGTTTTTGAAGGATGAGGGGAAGAGATGCTTCCTAGGAAATGATCAGACAAGAGAGGAAGGAGCCTCTGTTGTAGTGGATTAACATTCAGAGAAAGAAATTTAGAAAGGTCTTGCCCTAATTAATCTGATGGTTAAATATGGTGGTGGGAGAGTTGTACCTTCAGACTTGCAAGATATTCTCCCCCACTCCCAGGGGTGAGGCAGACCCCCACTTTCCTGGCCTTCCAAAAAGGAGTTAACACACGTCTCTGTAGCTTTGCCTGGGGAGCTCAAAGAAGCACACAGCTGTGGGGCTGGTTGGGCCATGAGAGCCCCCCCTCGCCTTTTTAATTAACAGGTCTTAATTATTCTTGCCTCCTTCTAAAAATTTAATTGTGAAATCTTAATTCCAACGTCTTAATTTTTATATACTGTTTTTAGATTTTGATGGGTTTTTTTTCTGTACACTGCCCAGAGTTCCTCTTTGAGGAGATGGGCAGTTCAGAAATGTGAAAAACAAACAAATAAGATTCTGTTAATGTAGCCTCACAATAAAATAGAATTAGCTCACCTAGTCGTGTTTCCTGTCTGGTTTACTTGGAAGGGTTGATACTAAGATTCTGTTGATGACCGTTGTTCCCCATCCAGATACTCAAACCTCCAGGCCTTAAGATAGATCAACAGGATCACTTAGATGCTGGTATCAAAGACCAGAATGAATCATTGTGAATATTTTTATATTACAAGCGCCATCCAGTCTCACCAGAACATACATAATAGGCCTAATATGCACAAGATGTGTTTGGGCTTTCTCTACTGAAAAAGAAGGCAATGGAGATCAGTCCTCCCAGGTTAAAAATGTATCAATGATTTTTTTAGAAAATAAGACAAGTCTGGCATGCTACTTTTTCATATTGCAGAAACATCACGATTCATTGAAGATTAAACATGTACAATATTAATTAGCTTCATGACTGTAAGAATTTTCACTATAAAGAAGGGCTGCTGTGTTTCTTCAGAAATTAATATGGATATTAGCGATAGAAAAAAAGCTTGTTGATTTCTTTAGTAATAGAAGAAAGCTTGTTGACTGGCAGCAGTTTAAATTGTACCTTATGTGTAACATGCAGTTATATTGCAATGGAACCCACTAAGGGCCAGACTGAATAAAATGCTTAAATATTACCAATCATTACTCCCAATGGGATTTTTTTTTATGGAAGAAAGATTTTCGTCAGGAGACTAATAAGGTTCCTGTTGTGCTTGTTATTAATTGTTCCTTGTGTTTTTTTAACTCACAGAATTGTGGCTGCTAGTGACATGTATAATTTTATATCAGTTTGGCTTTCGGATACAGACACCAAATAGAAACATTTTGACACTTCTAAATTCTAAATATTTTTTTTTTCTGCAGACTATTCTAAAAACTCTACACTTGCCCAAAAACAACAACCTGTATGTCCTAACACCCGACTTGCCACCACCGTCTTCATCAAGTTTGCCAGGGTAAGTCACAAACAAATTTGAATGTAACCTAAAAGGATTCATGTTAATAGTATATTTGAGAGTATCCAAACTCTATGCATTTTAGCAGCTTTAAACATTTGTTCCAGGAGGAACTAATATTTGGATGGTATAAATTGATGGAGAGGTAGTTTCTAGTAGAGATGATAACCCTGCTTTAGAACAGGAGATTTATTAAATAATTGTATGGTCTCTTCTAGCCTTTTCATGATGCATTTTCTAAACTGGTTGGGCTAAGGATTCCTACTTTGTTTTACAAATAAAATAAAGAGCATAAACCATGCAGAAACGATTGCATATTCCAAATAATTTCAACAGAACCAGCAGTTTTTTCTAGTTATGTTTTGCTTTCATAACTTCTCCAGTTGCATTTAACAAAGCATGATTATTGAAATTTGCAATAATAAAAATCCTTGTTTTAGAAAATTTGTGTACAAGATGAAATACAGTTTTGAGTAAACTGCAGCGCAGTTATACTATATATGCACTGAAAACTTACATTGCTGGCATTTGGATTAAAAGGCTAGAACTAGAAACTTTGTGTGAAAATCAACTTTAAAAATACAGTCTGGAACACTGGAAATGGTTAAGAAGAATTTCTTCATAGAAAGTAGTAGATGTGAGTTTTCAATTTAAAAAGAAATCTATAGAACTTGAGTGATTAAGAACATTTAATGAATTTTAAGATCACATGAAATGAGGTTGTGCATGTAGCCAGTTCTCATTTGTATGAAGGACAGAGAATTGTGAGAATTTTGAAGCTAAATTGGAAAGAGGTGTGGATGCAAAGCAAAGAGAGACAACTTGATTAGATGGCATAAACTAAAGACAGCATAACATTTACTCAAACTATAATATTATTCGGCCTACTGATCAATTGTTTTAGCAATATACCATGGCACAAAACTGTTTTCAAATTCAAAGTAAAGTGAAAGCAAAGGATTTAAAATACGTTTTTTTTTTTTGCACTGGATTATCGTATGAGCAGTTTGATAAGGTGAATATGTGACAGTTGGAGACTTTTTCATATGGTTATTTACATGCATTTTGGCTGATGCTGTTATTTTTTGATAAATTAACTTTCTTTACTGGATTTTTTTTTGTCATTCTTGAACAATTGTATGTCCTGGTGGATAATGAGTTACTTTCAAAATTAAAAAGAACTGCTTTTGAAATGAAAGCATAGTTTTACATATTGTAGAGGTTAGGGTATCCCAGCAGTTGAGAAAATATAGAATTTGGGTTTATTTCCTCTTAGGTGGGAAAAACTTACATAAATCCAGCTCAGTTCTTCTAAATTTATATATTTAATTTATCAAATTTAGAAAGCCACCCATCTCACAAGAGAAGTGACTATGAATTAGTCCCTCTGAATAGTTTAGCATTCAAGATACAAAGTAAACAAAAGCTTTCTGAGTGATTGCTGTTTTAAACTAATTTGCTATTGCTTGCTGCATTAGCTACAACAAACATTACATTTACATAGTGACTTCATATTTTGTTTTAGTGTAAATAAACTGTAATTACAGCAAATTTGGATGACTATTGACATGAGCTTGTATAAATCTGAATGTTTGCGATAGAAATGTTAATTATTATGTTTCATGATATTTTGTTAAAATGTAGATGTTTGGTAAGAAAAATGAATTGATATGATGAATAATGATATTTTTCAGCTGAAATTCATGAAGAGGCTCTCTGTGGCATTAAACTGGAACAATAATGTAATATATACTAATTGCCTTAGATTAAAATCCATTGAACTCAAGAGAATTCTGTCTCTCTCTCCCTCTCTCTCTCTCTCTCTCACACACACACACTTGTATTGCACTAAATATTAATTTAAGAAATAGCTGGATAATAGCTAGATAAAATACTTTTATTTGAGAAGCCAGCTGTGGATAGGAAAGAAACTGTTTTCATCATATGTAGTTCTTTATGCTATTTTTCATATAATTTCAGAAGAACTCTTAATAAACAGCTTATTTTTTTAGGAAGAAAAGATAGGGTACTAGGTTTGCTAATTGTACTAAATTATTGCTATAAGAGATGATGGAAAAGATACTTTCATACAGAGAGGAAAGAAGGAAACAATTCTTCTACTCTTTTAATTCTCCAGAGGTCAGATGATTTCATATGGAATTCAATGGGTTTTTTTTTTTAAGTAAGCCGCAGAGAAACATATTGAAATAATCACTTCTAGCAATTGTGCTAGATTCTCTATTTCTTGCCCACAAAGATAATCTCATACAATATCAACACAGAGGAAGGAGTGTTTTAATAGAAGAGTAAGCTTTGTTTTTTGGATAAGAATGTAAGTTAGATCTAAATTGCTAGTGACATTAATAGATGCACAGCTAAATATTTTCCATTATTTTGGGTATGGGTGGGAATGAGCTTGAAAAAAACTAGTCACAGAAGCTAAAATTCTGCAGCTCAAAATATGGTTTTCTTGCTAAATTTCAGCTCAATATCTGAAGATTTTTAATGGTTGTAAAATGCAAGTAGAAAGATCAGAAAATATATTTTTATTGGAGCAGAGGTAATGAAGGAAATAATTATTCCTTCTCATTTTTCTATGGATACTATTTGTATAAGAAAATCCATGTATGTGAACTGTATTTATATAATTAATGCTATATTTGTTCTGGCCCTTAACATACCTTTTTCAGAAAGTCTGTTGGCATTAATTAGCTGTTTGAGAAACTGAATGTCGAATGCGTTTGTATCAAGCTATGTATCAGTGAGGGATGTTTTAGATTTCTGACATCTTTAGTACCTTATTTTTGTAAAAAACAAAACAAAACTATCCAGCAAAGTTAAACATACGTAAGTTTAAACTTGAGACATATAGTAGAGTAAGTAAAACAATTGATTCCAATGATTGGAACAAATAGGATTCTTCTATATGATTTTGCACGATTAGTTATTTCACAATTAGCAGTTCTGATAGTGAAAAAAGATGAGAGATAGGAAAGACATATGTACTTTGCACATATAGTCATTTCCCATGCCCATATAAAGAAGATTTTTCCAGTGCTATATGCACGGTTCCCAACCCCATGCTTAAAACTATGCAGAAAAACTAGATGTGAGATTTAGCCCTGAAGATAATAGATGGAATACTGTCCAACCGAAAAATCTTACTGAAATTAACTTCAGTAAGTTTCAGTACAATACTAATAGCTAAGTGTTTTTAAATGTTTAGTGCTTCAATAGAAAAAAGTGGTTAAAATAAGTTATTTAATAAATAGAATTTTACCGAAAGTGTTTCTTAATGTATAATTGCACATATATGTGTGTGTGTGTATGTGTATGTATAGTGCAAGCGTGTGTGTCTGTATCTGTATCTGTTTCACCATTATGTATATGTATCCATTGTCAGCTGTGATTATTCTCAAGATTATACATGCTAAAAATGTTCTAAATACTTGATATTAATATTCAGTGAACTCTGGTTAAGAATTATCTGATTTAATGAGTTGTTTTATTGGAGTCATATTAATATTTCATTGGACAATGTACTTCTAATGTAGAATTTTTTTTCAAGTAAATTAGAGTCTAATCTAATTTGCTATGTCTTCTAATGAGAGTAATGTGTATTAATATAACTGTAAAGAACCAATTGTTTTCTCTATTATGTTACCAGAATTTATGTTGCAGACTGTGAACTTTAAATATATATTGCTGACTAAACCATTTTATATCACATTTAGGCAGCAATCTTATGGACAATGATTTCTGAGTACATTCAAATGAGGACAATGCAATTTACTTCCATGTATAGAATTGTGTTGCCTGAGATTCCCCTACACCTATTTCAAACAACTTGAGTGTGCAATAAAACTAAAATAATCTGAAATCAAATACAGTGAAGGAAAAATCATTTGATCCCCTGCTGATTTTGTACGTTTGCCCACTGACAAAGAAATGATCAGTCTATGTTTTTAATGATAGGTTTATTTTAATAGTGAGAGATAGAATAACAAAAAAACTCAGAAAAACACATTTCAAAAAAGTTATAAATTGAATTTCATTTAATGAGTGAAATAAGTATTTGATCCCCTATCAGTCAGCAAGATTTCTGGCTCCCAGATCTCTTTTATACAAGTAACAAGCTAAGATTAGGAGCACTCTCTTAAAGGGAGTGCTCCTAATCTCAGCTTGTTACCTGTATAAAAGACACCTGTCCACAGAAGCAATCAATCAATCAGATTCCAAACTCTCCGCCATGGCCAAGACCAAAGAGCTGTCAAGAATGTCAGGGACAAGATTGTAGACCTACACAAGGCTGGAATAGGCTACAAGACTATTGTCAAGGAGCTTGGTGAGAAGGTGACAACAGTTGGTGCAATTATTCACAAATGGAAGAAACACAAAATAACTGTCAGTCTCCCTCGGTCTGATGCTCCATGCAAGATCTCACCTCGTGGAGTTTCAATGATCATGAGAACAGTGAGGAATCAGCCCAGAACCACATGGGAGGATCTTGTCAATGATCTCAAGACAGCTGGGACTACAGTCATTAAGAAAACAATTGGTAACACACTATGCCGTGAAGGACTGAAATCCTGCAGTGCCCGCAAGGTGCCCCTGCTCAAGAAAGCACTTGCATAGGCCCATCTGAAGTTTGCCAATGAACAACTGAATGATTCAGAGGAGAACTGGGTGCAAATGTTGGGGGTCAGATGAGACCAAAATTGAGCTCTTTGGCATCAACTCAACTCACTGTGTTTGGAGGAGGAGGAATGCTATCTATGACCCCAAGAACACCATCCCCACCATCAAATATGGAGATGAAAAAATTATGCTTTGGGAGTGTTTTTCTGTTAAGGGGACAGGACAACTTCACCGCATCAAAGGGACGATGGAGGGGGCCATGTACCATCAAATTTTGGGTGAGAACTTCCTTCTCTCAGCCAGGGCATTGAAAATGGGTCGTGGATGGGTATTCCAGCATGGCAATGACCTAAAACACACGGCAAAGGCTACAAAGAAGTGGCTCAAGAAGAAGTACATTAAGGTACTGGAAGGGCCTAGCCAGTCTCCAGACCTTAACCCCATAGAATATCTGTGGAGGGAGCTGAGGGTTCAAGTTGCCAAACGTCAGTGTCGAAACCTTAATGATTTGGAGAGGATCTGCAAAGAGGAATGGGACAAAATCCCTCCTGAGATGTGTGCAAACCTGGTAGCCAACTACAAGAAACGTCTGACCTTTGTGATTGCCAACAAGGGTTTTGCACTAAGTACTAAGTCATGTTTTGCGAAGGGGTCAAATACATATTTCACTAAATAAGATGCAAATCAGTTTGTAACTTTATTGAAATCAGTTTTTCTGGATTTTGTTGTTGTTGTTGTTATTCTGTCTCTCACTGTTAAAATAAACCTACCATTAAAATTATAGATTGATCATTTCTTGTCTGTGGGCAAACATACAAAATCGATCAAATAATTTCCCCCCTCACTGTAATAGTGCATCATTCTTTGCCAGAAGAATGGAAATAACAGTTTATTAGAATTTGAGTAAAATGGCTCCCTGTAATCTTGACTGATTTTCTCTTCCATAACTTGAAAGAACTATGGAAAGTAATTTCACAAGGATCAGAGTTGTGTTGAAAGTAAAGTTGGATATATATGCTTTAAAACTTGATATTCTAAGCACAGCTTTGGAATCTTTGGTGTTCTCTCAGCTTGGTTATTTTCTGGCAGACATTTCATTACCATACTATGTAACATTATCATTCTAGAAGGGAGTGGAGTTAGCTCTTTTTTTATACGCTAGTGGCTTTCCCTATCACTTCTGTTTTATCAATAACAACAGTTTTCCCAGATGGTGCCTATATAAAATACATACATGATTTTTGTCTTTTTGTTCCTACTTAGCCCCTTCTTCTGTAGGTTGAGGGACCTCTGGAACAGCATGGAATTTAATGTGGGATGCTGAACTGATAAATTTAGATGAGTAATTCTGAACCTTTTGAGAGAACTGAAATACTTTCCACTCATTGGGGCTTTCTGATGTCTATTATTTTATTAGTCTGTATTTACCAAGATTAATAAATAGTTCAAATAAAGGACTGTTGATGTAATTATTTCTAACATTTATCCAAATCAAGAATGTTCAAGAATTGACTTATCTTCCTGTTTTTGGCATCATTTATGTTATCAAAAGTTGACATCTGAGGCTGTAATGTCCATAGTTAGAAAGAAAGGAATGAATGTTCCTACTATTTCTGAGAACTGAGGTTTTTTTATCATTTCTGATTTCTCCCAGATTACGTTGGAAAAATGAACAGTTGGTTGTAAACCTGAGTCAAATTCACTTGGTGTTTCCTGAGATAATCAGTGAATCCTAGAATTTTCCACATGTCTTACTGGCAACTACTTGGACAGCAGTTATGAACATTTACCCTGCTTAGCTGAAAAGCATAGCTGTCATGTGCATACACAAACCTGGCATATAAATACATAATTATCTGTGTATTTGTAAACACTATAAGCATCATCAAAGCTTTGACTTTGAACTTAATTTAAAGCCTAGAGGTCTCTTAAGATGTGAGTGTGTTGTGTGTGAGACAGATAGATACTGAGTGTGCATACAGTATTGCAATGATTGCAGTAAGAACTGTGTTGCGAAAATTGCAAAGAGTTGAAATATAGCCTCAGATACTCAACTACCTTAGAAGGAGTTAACAGGTCAGCTCCCTTGGTCATTCTCCAGTTGCTTCCTTGCCTTTAAGAGCAAAAAAGAAAACGATAACATTGTGCCTGGACCTGTCTCTGCAGAGTTTTAAGGTACTCCTGGGGTTTTACAGCTAAATGTAAAGCAAGTTAGAACATGTTCTGCTCCTGATATTCTTGTTTTTCTTTCAACCCTTTCAGTGCCCTGCAGGAATCATTAAATCAAAACTTCATGCTGATCGTCACCCATCGAGAAGTCCAGCGGGAGTACAACCTCAACTTCTCAGGAAGCAGTACCATCCAGGAGGTGAGCTCTTGTCTCGCAGCTGAAGAATAAATGTCGCTCATTATAACTAGTGTCAGCTTTGTTAAAGAGGGCTTATGTATTCAGGCTGCATACTTCCTTTCATGTTTCATTATTAGGTTTTTAGCTTTTAATTAAGTGGATGATGAAAGATTACTGTAGGTACATCAGATGGTGTCACCGACATATCACATTTGCATTAATTTTACCCCAAAGCGGTTGTGTGTTTGTGAGCATGCTGCCAAAGGTGAGGTAGGGCTATCGGATAGGGCTTCTTCTTCCTTTATTTAAAATTGTACACAGTTTTCTTACATTCTTAGGTATTTCTTGCAGCCATTGCATTGCTCCTTGTCACAATCTTGATTAGGAATGGGACTGCAGAAGAATGATTTCTGTTTAAAAACAATTTCATTGTCATTCTGTAAAACAGCCACCAAGGGGTGATGTTGCAAAGAAGAGTTCCTTGCTAATTTGTCCTGAAAGACAGAAGCACTTCCTAAAGTAGTAAATTGCCTTTAACTAAAAATTAAATATTGTCATAACCTTGTTGTATATCAAAAATTGAGCAATCAGATTTTTGAAGTATTTTTTTGCTTACTGATTCCAACCTATTTATATACATGAGGATTCCAATTGCGAGTGTTCCTTTTGAATCTTTTTTTCCTTTCATTATTGTATGAAAGATCTCCCTCTCCTCATTTAATACAGTCGCTGGCATCTCAAGAAGCCAGTGCATGTGTGAAATGATCTGTATTATGATCACTTTTTTTTTAATACTATCAATTCGTTTATTTATGTTGTTACAGTATTAGCAGCATGCTTCGTTCACGGAAGTAGCTCTGGAATGGAATAGCTAAAAGGATTATATGGTTTGGACATTAGCCTCTTTTCATTTGTTTTTATTTGAATTCATTTTAGTACCGATGATATTAAATCAATATAGCGCCTCCTTTGTATAATTTTTTGACTCTTACTAAGATTACTATGAAGAATATGAACCTATTGGCTAAAATATATTTTTGTATCTTATGTAGTTCTTTATATAAAAATCATTACATATGTACATACATGCATGCATGCATACATCTTGAAACCCCCCATATATATGTATATGTATGTATATGTACCTATGTATATCTATGGATTGTGTGTGTGTGTGTGTATACAGTTAATTGCAACATATAAACAGTAAACAGTAAACAATTACAGCTGCTTGTGATGTAGTTACAAACGTTTACTGCAATTGTTTTGCAAAAAATATGAAAATTTCAAATTTTGATGAAAATCAATTCTGTTACATATCAAATAGACATGATTGCCTATTTATCCAAGGCCCATAGAATTGTCTCCCATAAAATTGTCTCCCATTCCTAAATATAAAATGAAATTACTCAGCCCTTCAAGCTTTGAACTGGAATCTTATCCACTTTCAATAAATATATGTCATTAATTTCAGGGGCAACAGTTCTGGGTTGACTTGGTAGTACTGATAGGTTTTGCTTTATTACAAATTTTGTGAGTCAATATGGCTGAATTGCATTTCTGTACTTTTGCTCATTAGTTAAAGCTAAACAACAGTGTATCCTCCAGAAAATAGCACCATGATATTCAGAGTGGATCTACTCCATCATAAACTATTTCCAATATTCTAGAATTTTGAGAATTGTTTATGTGCAGAACGAGTCATACTTGTGGGTTGTATTTTCTTTCAGTTCAGTTCAAAAATTGAATTTAATCTTTGATTGAAGTGTTAAACTGACCACATACTAACACTTAGTTTCTGAAGTTAGTTTAAATTTTCTTCTTTTATTCAATTTTTTTTAATTAGAACGTTATATGTACTCCCATCAGTAGTAATTTAATTTTGTGTGCAATTTTCACTTATCAACCACCAGAGGGCAGGAAGGTCTATTCAATTATTTTTCCAAAATGCTAGCCAGTATTTTCAAATTAGCTTCCTGTGTCTTAACAAAAAGTAGTATAATGGCTGAGTTATTGTTTGATATGCAGATAATTGGCATATTGTGTGAAAGGAGACTTAATTTCATCCTTTAAAATTAAACAGTGAGATTTTAAAAGATATAAAATATTCATTAATGCTCAGTGATTATAAAGCAGTGGCATATATTTATTTTACCTTTATTACTGTTTCGATGGGAAATACAGCAAATACTTTGCAAATTGAGTTAGCCATACTGACAAGTTGAAATGTTTAAGCAGCATTAGCGCAATCTACGTGCACCTGATAGACTATGCAGAAAGATTCAAAATGTCTGCATCAATTATTAAAAGAAACACTTAATATTCCAGAAATGTTTCAGGTCTTACCACAACTATTGGATATAACTATCTCTCTGGTTCTTTGATTTAGGCTATTGTATTGCTGCAGTCCACGCAAACAGTACTAATAAACATTTTTTCTTGTCTTTTGCAAACAAAATAGTGTTATAAACATTTTGCGATGAACAAGTGAAAGATCTTTTAGCTGAGTTCATACGAATAACATTATTTTGCTGATTTCAAGTCAGTTACTAAAGAAATATACATTGAAAAAGTACTAAAATGAAGACAGATATCTAAATAAGAATAACAAGTTGAGAAAGAAATTAGTGAATATCGTTACCAATTGCTTTTTCTTGCAATTTGGCCTATGGAGGTATAAATAGAAAGGCAGCGACCATATTGTTTTCAAATAATGGATGCTTTTGTGTTTGGGAAATCCCTCAAGTTTAGTACAGTACAGACTTGTAACTCAAAATTGAATCCACATATTATATTCATGTCATCCTATATTCTTTCTCACCTTCCCCCCATGCAGCAGTCAGATTTAAGATGGACTGAATTTGAACTTTATTTTCTGGTGTTAGTTTTTATTATCTTTTCTTCCACTGGTATAACAAAATTTAAAACATAACCCACACTCATAAAACCAAATAATGAATGCAGGTTATCACCCCCTTTTATGAACCTTTCTAAAATGGAATTAAATGGATTGAAGAACATAAAAGTTATTACTGAACATTAATTCTGTTGGGTACATCACAGATTAAATTGTATCACAGATCTATACTGTTATATCACTAACTTAGGAATGAATAATTATCAAGGACAATTTTGTTTCTTTAAAAAAATTAGTTTAAATTCCACAATTCTCTAGTGATGAATTTTTAAAACATGAATACGTAAGTTTATAAAATGGGACTTCAGAACAGTTTTAATGAGATTTGATTTTAAAACACTTAAAAGATTATTCAAAATAGTTCTTTAACACCACCATTCCCAAACTTGCTATGTGAGGCATTAAATTATTTCCCTTGGACATAGAAAATATTGCTATAATGTACTATTATTAACATATTTGAACAGAAACGACTAGTTTCTTTGATCTTATTGCAACCTTTAAATTATGGTGTTGCAGAAATAAAGCCAATTTCCCTGCTGGTGACCTTGATATACAGCCTTATCACTTATGTCAACCTTTGCACAAAAGATAAGGTATCACATTGATGATGTGGCAATGAATGCTATGCTTAACATGATTTAACTGCAGCTAAATGATTTGTTTTAACGTAGATATTCCGCAGTGATTTGTAGAGATTTTTTAACAGCAGTAAAAGAAAAAGAAATGGCTCTAAAATCAACCAGACAATCCCCAAAGCATGTTTTATAAAGATGTTTTGATTGAAATTGAATCGGTACATTTTTACTCAGACTTTTTGAGAATCTAAGAAGTAAAGGACCAGGGAGACTGTATAAAGTATAAGACATATTGAGCTTGAAATTGGCAGGTTCCTTTAAGATTATTACTAACATGGTCTGCAGCTCCACAAAGCGTTAAATGAATATAAAATATAAAATAAAGCACCCTCCACTCAAGTGCCTGCACTCATGTGAGTAGAACTTCATGTGCAAGCACAAGTGCCCACCACTCACCAAGTGGAGCTTCCCATGCGTGCGCTTGCCTGCCATCACTAGCAGGACTCGGTTTGAAACAGGCTACGGACTAGTAGTGGGCTACAGCCCAGGATCTCCATGCTCTTCCTTTCTCTATTATTGCTGTTATATTGGTGGTTGTATGCTTTTAAGTTTTTAAAAATTGTTTTGTAGTTTGATATTGTTGTAATTGTTGTGAGCCACTAAAAGTCACTGAGATGAGATGAGCAGTTACAATGAATGAACAAATGAATGAATTTAGCACAGTAGTCCTAGGATGAGTAGATATTTACTTTATGACGGGCATCATTAGTTGCATATCAGTGCCCAGGATATGAAAAAAAAGTGTTTTGTCAAACTAGCTGATTTCTAGAAATATTATTATTATTATTATTAATAATAATAATAATAATAATAATAATAATAATAATAATGTTGGAAGGGACCTTGGAGGTCATCTAGTCCAACCCCCTGCTCAGCAGGAAACCTTATACCATTTCGGACAAATGGCTGTCCAGTCTCTTCTTAAAAACCTCCAGTGTTGGAGCATTCACCGCTTCTGAAGGCAGGTTGTTCCACTGGTTAATTGTTCTAACTGTCAGGAAGTTAGAGTTGTAGAGTTGTCAACTCTACAACGAACCTGGCTGCAAGCTAATGGCTATTTCAGCTGAGAATGAAGAGATATACAATGGGATCTCCGGAGAGTGTCTGGATAGGGACCAGTTGCTATTGACTCAGAGTTTGGTTTTTAATTTTGGAGAATAAAGAGAGCATTTCATACTGGAATGGGATAACTCACCATGGCCAACTCACCATGGCCAAACTACCATGGCCAACCCACTCACTTCAGCATACTGTCAAATCTTCTTGTTAAACAAGGTAAAAAGTTAGTTTTACCACTTTTTAATCAGCCTTAGAAGATGTGAATATGTAGCTGAAGAAGTCTCTTTTCAATAAAATATTGAATTATTCTATTATGATTTTGCTTATAGTTTTCAGCTGAGATACTTATATTGAAAATTAAATGAGTCTATTTTTGTTTCATTTTGTTGTATATATTATAGTACTAT